GCTGGTTGTTGCCTGTGAGCCTGATCCTGGGCAACTGGGTGTGGGGTGTTGCAAATCTGGCGCTGGGGTTGCTGCTGGGAGGATCTGGGCTTTGAGGCAGTGGCTGTGGGGCTTCTCCTGCTCCCTGTCCCAGCTTCTGCTGGTGCCCTGCGTGGGGGAGGCATGGGGAGAGCATCCCACCGTCCTGCTGCCTTCTGCTCCGCCTGTTGTGCTCGGTGAATGTTGCTCTTCCCTCCTCCCTTCCCCGCACGGCCACTCGCTGCGCAGGATCTGGCCATCGTCCCCCAAACCCACGCCTGGCAGGACATCCCCCTTTCCACTCCTGTTCTGCTTGCCTTCTCTCCTCCAGAACCCTCTTCCTGGCCGTGTTTTCTTGCTCCGCAGCGGTACCAAACAGCCCTGGGAGCTGGTGGTGCTCAGCCAGCTGGAAAAAACATTGGTGATGGATGTCACCAAGAGCGGTGGCGAAGCCGTCCCAGCCCGGAGCAGGGAGCCTGGCTGACCAGTCCCAGGGGAGCCTTGGGAATGGTTTCCTTCTGGATTTGTGTCCCCTGGGAGCGGTGGGCTGGCCTCGCCAGTCTGTCCCCCTGCGCCGAGCAGCTCTGCCGTGCTGGCTCCGGTGCGGTGTGTCCAGGAGCATGAGGACAGCGTCCCACGAGGGCTTACGCTGGAAGAGGAAGGTGCATCCAAGGGGAAGGTGCAGCTCTCTGGGCTTTTGCAGCTGTAACCAGAAATTAATGGAAGGCAGCAGCCAGCAGCATTTTAATTACTGCCGGTGGCAGCAGTGGGGATGCCGCCTCAGAGGGTGTCAGACTGTGGCCGTGTTTGATGTTTCTTTGTCGTGGGGAAAGCTCAGCGCGGCTCCTTGCTCAAGCCAGTGCCGTGCAAGCAAATGCCGTAACGCAACGGCTGCCAGTCTTGGTTTGTTGTTGGCAAAAGCGAGGACAGCCAAAACAGCCTTGGGTTTTCTTTTGAGCCGCCGAAGGAGCCGGGGTTCCCTGCCAAGCGGTCAGCCGGGATGGAGCCGGGATGGAGCCGAGACGTCGCCGAGGCATCTGAGGCTGAGACCTGGCTCCTCGTGGACCATGCAAGCAGCCGTGGGGGTTGAGAGAAACCGGACAGCTGAGCCCGAGGGAAGGCTGGGATTCATTTCCCTTTAGCATCGACCTCCCCAGGGGAGATGCCGGTGTCTGAGCGACTCGCCCCCAGCTCCCTGCAGCCCCGGGGAGCTCGTGGGCTGGTGCTGCCGTGCTACGCCTGCTCCGCGCTGGGGGCCTGGGGCGCGTTTTGGCTGAGGAATGAGCTCTGCCGATAGAGACGGCGGTGGAAAAATGCATCCTGCGTCCTGTTCAGTGCCAGTCTCGCCACTGGCGCGCGTCCCTTTGAACTCTGCGTTGTCTGGCTGTAGAAGGTGTAAAACTGAATTAATAACTTCAATTTTCTTGGCTGCTGCTGGCAGCTGGGGAGCTGGGCTGGGGGGATCTTTCCTGCAGGATGTTCTCCTGTTAACCACCCTTGGCATCGCTTCTCTTCCAACGAGCGAGTGTGACGCTTTGCCCACGTTGATCCGGGCGCTTCGTGAGCGCGGTGGTTTGGGTCAGACCACGGGCAGGGCGCGCGTGCCAGTGTCTGAATTACAGAGGAAGAGGCTGCAGAAGGGTGGCCCGACAGTTCTTTGAAAACAGGGAGTAAACCCCATACTTACCCTGGCCGGCCCCTGAATCCACATGGACATGAGCTGTGGGACGCTGGCAGGAACAAGCATCGGCCCGACCTGCCGTGTGGAGGTGCTGCTGCCTCCGGCGGGGGCTCGGGCAGCGCGATGGCCATCCCGGTCATCTTCCCAAAACCTCCTAATGCTCCGTGGAGAAAGTCTGCAACGCTGATGGCCTCTTCTCCATCACGTGTAAATGAAGCCCGTCGGTGCAGATTTCCTTTTGGGATATGGCACGGATCCTCTGCGAGGGTCGGGAGCCTTGGGGCGGCAGGACCCGAGGTTTTATCTGCTGTGGTTTTTATTTAGGACATTGATTTGTGTTGAGCGATTTCTCCTCCATGTCCCACGGCTCCCAGCTCCCTGGTGATGTGCTGGAGGGCTGCCTTCGTGTGGCTCCTCTGTAGTTACCTCCTTTTCTCCTAATTTACCGTTATACCTTACAAACCGTGTTTAATTGCAGCAGCATAATTACAGGTGATGTCCTAGCGCATTGTTTTAAAACGCACAACCCCCTGAGCCGGGGACAGCCGGCCATTTCCATCCTCAGTGACCGCGAGCTGTGCCAAAATGGGTATTTCTGTGCCCGCTGTGTGGGGGCTGCCTGCGGAGAGGGACCTTCGGAGCAGATAATGAGCTTTGCTGGGCTGGGAAGGTCACGGCCGCTATCTCATTACTTGCCCCTGTGGTTTCATCCTCTTATCGCAATGCATAAGCGTAATAAAAGAAGCCAGCGCGGGCCACGGGTTAGTTTTAACTAGCAGGAGGCTTCAGCTCGAAGCTGGGCGTGAAGGCATCAGGGCAGGGTCCCCCCGCCATGGGCTTTGCGGCCGTGGGTGGCTGCCAACAGGACTTTCTGGAGGTGGGGAGAGGAGCCCAGAGAACGAGGTGAAAACGTGGGGTGAAGCACCCTGAAGATCTGCCGTCTGGTCTCGCATCTCCCTGTGCTGGTCGGTCTGCGCAGCCCCACGGGTCTGCGGCTCATGTGGGGAGGAGCTGGGTGGTCCCCATCGGGCTGGGGGGGGAATGTAGGATGAGAGCACAGCTAGGAATTTGGGAAGGACGGGACCTCCCTGCCCGCAATCAGAGAAACAGCAAAGCGGGGGGGACCTGCCACGTTGCTCCAAGCTTGTGGGAGCCACGTCGCCCGTCGTGGCGCCGAGGATGTGCAAGGGGCTCTGCCCCTCTCCTCTCCGGGGGGATTCCCACCCGCTCTCCGGGCTCACGGTGCAGCCTTCGTGCCGTTGCAGCGTGGTGCTCGCAAAGGAGTATTTACTGAGCTCGCGCAGGTGGGGATCTCCGTTGGTGTGACGGCACCGTTGCGTCGCTGATGGCCACAAGTGGAAATCCAGAGGCTGAGAAGCTGATGCCGTAGAACAAACGTGTGTTCAGACCTTGCAAACACTTTTTTGGCCGAATTATTTCTGCCTAGCAAAACTGCCTGTGCTTGCATCTCGTCAGAGAGGCTTAATGATGCTGAAGACTGACGTATGTTGGAGCTCGGCCTTGGAACATCGGCAGCTACCCGTCCCCACTGGAAAAAACGGCAGGTTTGCAAGAGCGTGGTCTGTGGGTTTAAATTCACCCTGGCCAGTTTGATGCTGGGACTGATCTCGCAGCAGCCTGCCTGTGGACGGGGCTCTACGCAGTGAGAGCAGGTGGGAGCAGTCAGGGATGGAGATAACACAAACGCAGGGTCGGGTCCCCCCGTGCCGCAGAGAGCAGGAAGCAGGAGAGAGCAGAGTTGAATACAAAGCAAAACATCTTTTTAAATAGGATAGGTTACACTGATTTTTTTTTTTTTCCCAAAAAGGACTGCAAATTAGAGTAACCTGGCAAGAGCTGAATAAATCACATGTGAAATCCAAGTGGGTGGAGACGTAGACAATAACTGAGTCCTGGGGATGGTTAGAAGTCTGTTAGACATTCAGAACTCGGTGGTTTTAGTCCTTTTGAATAGTTTTGAGTTTTTTCAGGCCACAGGTTATCTAAAGAGAGGACCTCCCTTGGTATGGCGATGAGTTGGAGCCAGCCAAAGCCCAAGCACAGTTAATCTGCCTGCAAGTTGCCAGCCTGCCTCCGAACTCCTACAGAATTTCCATAAAAAAACGTATTTTCCTACTTTTAAACATAAGTTTAGTGTCTCCTAACTTGTGGAGATTTAGGGGAGGGAGGAGGAGGTGCAGCCTTGCCTCTGTGCTCAGATTCACGTGGGTTTGATCGCAAAGGAAGTGGCAAAGCTGAGGGGACTCGGTGTTTCAGCCTAAAATAAAAAAATAACCTAAAGGCAGAGCTCCGAGGGCTGGCTCTCTCTCGTCAGACAACAGAAAGGCAGCTCGTGGGAGCCGGCAGCGTCCCGTCCCCGAGCGGGCGTCCTGCGCCCGGAAATCTTCCGCTGGGCATCTGGCGTGCCCAGGAATGGGCGATGCTTGGAATCGTAGCGATGCTGAGGGGCTCGGGGGGGCTTGTGGCAGCGGTTAATGCCACTGAGGGTTCTCCTGTCAGCCCGGGCCGCGGTGTCCCTGCCGCCTGCGCGGTGGCACGGGACAGGGACGCTGTGCGTCCTGCGAGGCGTCGCTCGGCGTGTCCCGTGAGCTCTCCTTCCCTTGCGCCCAGCACGTCTGCCTGTGTCCCTGCGGCTGGCGGGTCCTGTTCCCCAGAAAAGGAGAGGAGAGGCTTTTGGCCACAGTGAACGTGTTGCAGGGGCCAGGCCAGGCCCTCGGCTGTCCGCTGGTCTGTGTGGTGCTGGGGAGGAGCTGGGCATCCTCCCTCCCTGCCTCCTTGGAGCAAAGGGCTCGCCGGCCCCTGGCTTCAGCATCCTTTCCTGTGGCTGTTACCCCGGGGACCGTTGACCTGTCCAGCTTCTCCTCATCTGCAGGCTTGGGGATGGAGGTGGCTGCTTGGGATCTCAGGGCACCCGCAAAGGGCTGGGCTTGACCAGGGTTTGTGTGAGCCCAGCCTGGGCTCCGGGAACCAGCGACGGGGCTGGGGCACGGCGAGCCGGGCTGCTGCGGGAGATGGGACATCACGAAGGCTTTGGGGTCTCAAGGCAGTTGTCCGTGTTACAGCCATCTCCTCGGAGGTGATTCAGGTTTGGATGGTCAGAGTTGAACTGGTTTTAGCCCCGTGGGTGTGGGGGATCGTGCAAAGCTCTGGGACTGTAAACCAGGGTCCTGGGACGGGAGGAGGGAGAGGAGAGTGAGCTCTGGAGTCACCCTGGCTCCATGATGAGCTTCCAGGCTGCCGGGGCTGTGCCGGTGCTGACATGTCCTTTCCTCCCCTCCAGGCTTGCCGCGATTTCCTGGACTTAGCCGAAACTCACAGCCGAAAATGGCAGCGTGCGCTGCAGTATGAGCGGGAGCAGAGGATCCGGCTGGAGGAGACCATCGAGCAGTTAGCCAAGCAGCACAACAGCTTGGAGCGAGCCTGCCGCGGAGCCCCCGGCCTGTCCTCCAACAGCACCGGCATCGCCAGCAGCGCCAAGGGTGAGTGCCGGCGGCCGGGGCGCGGCTGGGCACTGTTACGGGGGCAGAGCCCCGTGGGAAGCCTCAGGCTTTCCGCGTGGTTGCTCCCAGGGGGTCGCAGGGATGGGAAGGATACACAAGGCAATGCCCTGGATGCCTGTGTTTTGTTTCATTTTTAATGGATCTCATTACGCCGTAATTGTCCCTAATTGTCCTGCTGCTCCTTGCTTGGGGACGTGGATCTCCCCAAGGTATGGATGCAGGGACAGGCTGTGTCCCCAGCTTGCTTGTGCTATTTCAGACTATTTCGATAGCCTTAACCCTCACCTGTGGGCACATCTCCAGCTGCTGGAGGGCAGCTGTGGTGCTCAGAGGAAGCCCAGGGTCCCCTGGTGCTGCCGAGTTCCCGGCTGCGTGGGGTGGCGATGGCACAGCCACGGCTCCTTTGCTGCTCGCAAGAGTTACTGGGCAATAAAATCTGACGGCTTTGCGTATTTGTGCCAAATCTCCTTCCCTATGGGAGGCATTATTTACAGCCTGGTAGCCAAAAATTGCAAACAGGGACTTGTCTTATTTTTAAAGGGTATACAGACTCAAGGGAGAGAATAGTGGCTGTTGTGGGGGGTGATGGCAGTGCCAGGCGCTGCCCTTGTTCTTGTGTGGTCTCAAGGAAATGGCCCCACATTGCCCCAGGGGAGGTTTAGATTGGATATTCGGAAAAATTTCTTCACCGAAAGGGTTGTCAAGAGCTGGAACAGGCTGCCCAGGGAAGCGGTTGGGTCTCCATCCCTGGAGGGATTTAAAAGACGCGTAGGCGCGGTGCTTAGGGACATGGTTTAGCGGTGGGCTTGGCAGCGTTAGATTAACAGCTGGACTCGATCTTAAGGGTCTTCTCCAACCTAAATGATGCTCTGATTCTGTGGCGGAGCTGGGGAGGGCAGGGGCGAAATCGGTGCAGGGACAGGCACAAATCCGGCCCGACCTGGTAGCAGGGGCTGACCCCGCTCCCTTGGAGGACGGTGGGAGCGATGCAGGGAAGGAGGTTGCCCAACCCTGCCAGGAAGCTGAGCGAACGGCTGAGCCGGACGGGCTGCTGCGGCGAGCTGGCTGAAGCCGGGGCGACCATCCTGGTCTCTTGGCTTGTGGCAGAGCGGTGAAGCCCGCGGTGAGGCTGCACTCGGAGAGCAGCGCAACGAGGGCAGGAGCCGGGGAGCTGCACCGCGTCTCAAAAGTCACCGTGATTAACGCCCTGGGGGGGTGAGAGTGTGCGTGGTGCCGGTGGTCCAAGCTCCCGGCTTCGTAGCAATCTCTCCCACTGCAGCAAGGAAGAGAAATGATTTTAAGTCTGGAGCTGAAAACCCGACAGCTGGGAAGTCTTTTTGAGCATCACCTGAAACACGTGACTTTTTTTTTGCTATTTAAATCCAGACTGGATTTCCCGGCAGATGGGGCGGTGCTGGAGCGGCAGCCGCGTTAGATGCGGTTGGACGTGCGAGTCACGCGTGTGTGTCTGGCTCAGGGAGCCTCGTGACATTTCTGGAGGTGCTCACAAGCGTGGCAGGGAAGGCTTGCGTGCCTGGAGTGGGGAGCAGGACGCATGCTGCCAGGGCACGTCCTTGCTTTTAGGAGCTAGAAGTCGGTACGGCATCCTCTCGTCGTGGAACGGGATGGGGAGGAGGGACGAGCTGTAAAGGGAGCCAGCCTTGGAGGGGACGCAGCAGGAGGAGGGTGGTCTCTGGGGACATACTTGTGCTTGACGGGTTCAGAAGGGGACCGGCAGCACCCAGGCATCTCAGACCTTTTGTGCCAACAGGGAGTGTGCAGTCTGCAAAAGGAGAGGCCAGTGATGAAGATGAAGAGACAGAGTATTTTGATGCCATGGAGGATGCACCAGCTTTTATTACTGTAACCGCAGACCCCAAGCACCACAGGTATGAGCCCCCGGCCCAGGGCAATGCATTGCACGACGCAGCCTGGTGAAATCTGCTGTCAGTGCAGGAAGAGCAGTGCAGGGACAGTTTCCCCGACATTGTGCTTGGGCTCGAGGGCAGCATCCTCTCCCATGGGGTTACTCTGCATGCATGTCCCCCAGCAAACAGGCTGCCTCTGCCCAGGGCTCTGTACTGTGCCTGTCTGCTCTTGTATCCCTGGAGCGAGCGAGGCTGAGGATGGCCCCGGCTATAGCAAAGCAGGCGAAGGGCAGACGTCAGGCTGTGCTGCGGTAAAGCTGAGTCCTGCCTCAGCAGCTGATGTGAGTTCGAGGGAAGCCTGGGCAGGAACTTGGAGGGATCCCTTGGAGCACGGGGCAGAAGCGGGGAGTGCCTTGCCTTTGTCTGACTTGACCTGTGCTTAGGACCCCCGGGCGTCTGCCTGGGCTGGAGGCACTGTGGTCTGAACCACGGTCATGCCGCTGGGCTCGCGGGCAAAGCAGCAGCTCTCAGCGCCCAGAGCGGGACACCCTGTGCTGAGCATCCCCTCCCAGTGCCCGCGCACGGCCTCCATCACCCTGTTGCCTTCCCGGCAGCACCCTGGGGTGGTGCGGGGAGATGCTCCGGGTGTGTTGGTCGTGCTGCACCAGTCCCGGCTCTTCTCTCCTCTTCTCTGCCCTTTCTTGTGTTTACCAGCCGGTACTTTCTTCCCTGCAGGCGTTCGGGCAGTAACCTGAGTGGAGCCAGCGAAGGCCACCCTGAGGACTGGAACCTGGAGGACAGCGTGAGTTGGGAGGGCAGAGCGGGAGGGACCAGGGGAGAGGAGGAGGAGAGGAGGAGGTTGTTGGAGGGACTCTCTGTCAGGGTCCCTCCTGTGCGTCCACGATGGAGCGAGTTGGTTGCTCTGTGAGCCGCGGCGGGGAGACTGATGTCAGTGGTCTTACAGCAGCACCTCAACACCCTCCTAAGGGAAGTGGTACAGTGTTGGGGGGCAACTGCACTGTTATTTCCCCCATGCCCTGGAGAACAGGCTTCTGGTGATTCTCTCCAGCGCAAGTGCACACGATGTCTCCTGAGCTGTGGTTGCTGCTCCTGGGAGCCGCCAGGTCTGGCTGGGTCATACTGGGCTTAGACCTCTGTTTCTTCTGTTGCTGCCGCAGGTTTTTGAAAGCTCAAATCAAAGCAGCTACAATGAGTCCACCTGCAAAGATCTCCTGCCGAAGAAGAGGAGACGGACTCGAATCCCTGACAAACCCAACTACAGCCTTAACCTCTGGAGCATCATGAAGAACTGTATCGGCAAAGAGCTCTCCAAGATCCCCATGCCCGTAAGTGAGCGTGTCCCAGGCGCCGGGGGCCAGCGGAGAGGGTGCTGCCATGACGTTGGCATTGAGGGTTTAGTTTGGGCATGGCTCTTGGCTGGGCAAAGGACTTGGGTTACGGCTCCAGTTGGTCCTGCCAGGTCCTGTAGCAGCCCAGCAGCCCCGTGCAGGGCAGGAGCACGTCACCAGCTGCCAACCCCGTCCTGGGGCACTGGCTTTTGCCCTGGCAGAGCCCTCTGAAACTGCCTCACTCTTCTCCCCAGCCCCAGTGTGTCCTTGCTGCTCAGCTCTGCTGACTCGAAGCCCGTCATTTTTCCCTGCAATTTATTTGCCCCTTGAAATCGTCCACCTGCTGCCAGAGAGCCAGCACAGCCAGAAAGCTGAACCAGCCAGGCAGGAGGAGGTTGTCCTCAGTGACATGGAGCTGTAGTGCTAATTGCTTTGTGGTAAATGACTCTGATGTCATGGCTGTGGCATTAGGGACTACCTGAATTGGGTCAGTTCTTTCTTTGGGACTGATCCGTTCTCCTGTGCCGGTTGCAGAGAGCCTTGGCAGCTTGCTCACATGAGTTCCAGGGCGAGCTGCAGCAGAAGGACACTTCCCAAGTTTCCTCTGCAAATCCAGCTGGTGCAGAGGGAGGGAGGGAACCAGGACACCTTGAGTCCCTGAGGATTCAAGTGTTTCACCCAGGGGACAGAAGAAGAAGAGACCTTGTTGCTGATCATGCTTTCCCCAGCGTGTGTCCCAGGGCACGATGCTCAGGGAGCAGCCCCACCTGCACCGACAGCGGGGCAGAGCCGTGTTTCAGGGACCCAGCGTATCTTTATTTTCCTTGCAAAGGGGGGCCTTTGAGTGAAGAAAGGGCCGTGGGGGCAATTGACAGCACTGCTGGGGGCTGCTGCGTTCGCTCCTCGGGGTGAAGGCTTCCTGCGGGTGGTCAGGAGGGGGTTTGCTGGGGAGCGTCTGTCTGGGCCCCACTTCTCCCGGGCTGCCGCAGAGGGTAAGTGGGATGTGCATTTAATTCTTGCAGATAAATAACCCTGTGCCTCACATACCCAGACGAAATGCTGCTCATGCCAAAGCTCCCCCCAAACTGCAGCCCTTTATCTCAGAGCAAACCAGCCCTTCCCAGGCTGCCAGTTCTCTAGCAGGTCTTGACCAGCCCAGTGAGCAGCATGGGTGGGACTGGGTGCCATCGTAAGGTATTCATTTCCCCCAAAACTATGAAGTCCTGGCAAGCTTGGGAGAGTTGTAAAACAGCTGGGGGTGACTGGGGGTTATTGTGGGGCTGGCTGGAGTGGAAGTAGCCCAGCAAAGTGCGATCCGTAGCCCTGAAGCCATATTCGGGGTCCTTGCTTTGCTGGGGAAAGGAGGAGGAGCACGTTACAGGGGCTTGGATGCTGAATTGATTGTGTCTCGTCTCTTCTCAAGGCAGTGCCTGACACCCTCTGAGCGAGGGCAATGAGTTTGTCTCTTCCTTGTGCTATTTCCAGCCAAGATACACGGCCCAGTGCCGTCCGTCAGCATTTCTGCAGCAGCGTCAGTATCGGATAAAGGCGTGATGGTACAGAAATAAGCCGAGGACATGAAATACCAGCAGCTGCTGGTGCCTGGAGAGAAGCAATTTATACCTTCCCTATCAATCAGATCATTCTGGGAGCTGCTAAAGCTGACTCCAAACCTGAGAGCAGTAGGTTCTGCTCGCACAGCAGCCCCTGATGCCGGCTCGGGGGATGTAATTGCTGCATCCCCTCCCTGGGGCGAGTGGATCTGGTTTCCCAGCGCTGCTGCCGTCTCTGTAAACTGTTCAACAGGGCTACGAGTTGTAAGGAGGGGGCTCAGCCCAGCGTCAGTCGCTCGCTGTCGGCTCCTCTCTCTGGATAGCTGTACAGACACAGAGGCAGGGAGGTGCTTTGCACCCCACAAGCTCAGCCACGCGCGACATTTCTTTGGGAGATTCACCCCAAGAACAAACAGCCTGTGGTAAGGGAACAGGGGGCAATTTAATTTCCTTTCAAGAGCCATTTAAATTTTCTCTCTGTGGTACGCGTGCGTGGAGTGCGGGAGAAGCCAGCAGCTCTGTGAATCGAGTGGGAGCTGCTGAATGAGGGCTTTCAGGCTGACGTTGCGGTAAACGGAGCAAAGGAGGAGGAGAAGGAAGCGGAGCAGCCGGCTCGGGGAGGGCTGTTTGGAAACGTGGTTAATTATAGTGCAAACTGTCGGTGAGTCTTGTTGTGTGCGCCGCGCGGTGGGGTTTTCTTCTTCCATGTGCTTTGCCTGATTCTTGGCAAATTAAGAGCGTTTCTGAAAGCCCATCCCCTTTCCAGGGGATGTGATGCACTGAAAAAAACGCTTGTTAATTTTTCCGCTGAACAAACAAACCTGCAGTATTGAAGAGGAAGAAACCAGCTTCTAGGGATTTTTGCGTTTCGGGTGGGCTCATCTTCCTTCCTTCGTGGAAGGGTTTTACTTTGCTGTTGCCTGAGCGGTGCTGGTGGAGAGGATACAGCTGCTGGCTTTGTTCTCATGCCGCTCGTATCTCTCCCGAGAGTTATCTCAAGCCGGCAGTGATTTGCTTTTTTGTGGGGGTATGATGCTGCCCTTTCTACACAGCTCGCTCTTTCTCAGGTGCTGTAAGATCCCTGCTACTTAAATCCCCGAGTGGAATGATCTGGAGTTTGTTTTCTTTAGTATGAAATATGTAACTTGGCTTATAGAAGTGGTTCTCTCATCCTTCAACCATCTGCTCCTTCTAAAATATATTTCTCCTGAACTGAAAGTAAAAAGTGAATTTCACATGGTTTTGAGGCAGAAGACTTTCTGAGACAAAGTATCTCCGTCTTCCTTTCGAATTTTAAATTTCAGTTCTTTTCAGAACAAAAAATATCGCTAAAATCAACTTTTTTTTTGTCCCCTCAGATTTGTTTGCAGCCTGGCCAGCCTGGCAATATATGGCAAAGTTCTAAATGACAAAGCAATGACTTCAGGGTAGAAACACGACCCATTTGGGCTCTTCAGGACAGAGCTTCCCCTCTGCTCTCTCCCCACGGGGCATTGCTGCTGCATTGCTGCTGCCTCTAGCTCACACATGCAGTTTGGGTCCTGTTGTGGGGCTGCAGTTCCAGGAGTGGGGAGATCCCAAAATGGGGCTTTTCAAGGTTTTCTGAGCAATGGGACCGCCCAGCGTGGGGTGGGCTTTGCCGGGAGGTGATGGGGGGCAGCCCAGGGAGCTCTGCGTCGCCTCTCGCTCGTGGCCGGTGGGATGCTGGCTGGGAGGCAGGAGCGAGCTGGTCTCACTGCTGAGGCTCATTTTGGGGCTCACTGGTGCTCCATCACCGGAGCAAGGCGATACCTGGGATGATACCTGGTTAGCTTACGGGCCTGCTGACTCCCTGGTACACCTCAGCTGGGAACTTCGAAGCCGTCATGCTCTCGTGGTACGGTCGCGGGAGCACGGCAGAGCACGCGTTTCTTGCCTTTATTTAACACCTGCGTGGTGCTGCAGGCGCAGCGTGCAGGCCGCGTGCCGTGGCACATCCAGCCCGGTGCTGTGCGCTGCCCTGTGAGGCAGCTGCTTCAGTTGGGCGCAGTTTCCATCCATCCCGGATCCCTGACTCTTGGGGTGCATCGCAGCGCGCTCGGAGAGCCAAACGCGTGGGGTGCCGGTGGTTAGCAGGGCTGGGGGGGGAAGGCAAAGGGTGAGGTGCCCGGCTCGGCAGCTCTCCTGCTTTGCTCACCCTTTCTTGTTCCCCTGCAGGTAAACTTCAACGAGCCGCTCTCCATGCTGCAGAGGCTGACGGAGGACCTGGAGTACCACGAGCTGCTGGACAAAGCGGTCAAGTGCGAGAGCTCCACGGAGCAGATGTGCTTTGTCGCTGCGTTTTCGGTGTCTTCCTACTCGACGACTGTCCACCGCACCGCAAAGCCATTCAACCCGCTGCTGGGGGAAACCTATGAGCTCGACCGGCTGGAGGAGTTCGGTTTCCGTTCCCTGTGTGAGCAGGTGAGCTGGGGTCTGCAGAGGGGCTCTGCGTGTCTGCCCCACTGCTCATGTCCAGCCAAAGCAGCCCTTCCCTGAAGGAGACCCAGCATCTCCTCCCGCTGAGCCTTCCTCCTGACTGAGCCAGCCAGCGGGATGCTGTTGGTGTTGGCAGCAGCAGGAGCAGGGC